ACAAAATGGGGGAAAAAATTCTTTCTCTCATGGAGTTTACATTCTTGTGAGTGAGACAGGCAATAAATGATAAGCATTATAAATAATTAAATCACCAAGTATGTTAGAAGGTGATAAGTGTTGGCTGGGCATGGTGGTTCATGCCTGTAATCCCAGCACTTTTGGAGGCCAAGGCGGGCAGATCACAAGGTGAGGAGTTCAAGACCAGCCTGGCCAATATGGTGAAACCCTGTCTCTATTTAAAATACGAAAATTAGCTGGGTGTGGTGGTGGGCGCCTGTAGGCCCAGCTACTTGGGAGGCTGAGGCAGGAGAATCACTTGCACCTGGCAGGTGGAGGTTGCAGTAAGCCGAGATCACACCACTGTACTCCAGCCTGGGTGACAGAGAGAAACACCATCTAAAAAAAGCAGGTGATAAGTGTTATGAATTCGTATAGCAGGCAAGAAATTGAGAGTACAGGCTTGGGGATCTAGGGCTTACTCACTCTGGGTTCTGGGGCCTGGAGGTGACCAGGCAGGGCTCACCAGGCAGGTGATATTTGACCAAAGTCCTGAGGAGGTCGGAATAGCCAGCACCAAGGTCCTGAGGTCGGAGGCGGTGCCTGGTGTGTCTGGGGAACAGCCAGGCGGCCAGCGTGGCTGAAGCAGTTAGAAGGAGAAGAGTAGGAGGTGAGGTCAGAGAGAAAGTGCCTGGAAGGGCCTTCTAGACCATTCTGGAGACTTAGGCTTTTACTTTGAGTGAAATGAGGAGGGCAATAGAGATGGAGGGATTGAGAAAGAGTTTGGTTCTGGATATATTTTGAAGCTAACAGATGTCCCAATAGATGGTAGGTTGGGGATCAGAGGAGGGGGGCCAAGGTCAAAGACTACTCCATGGTGTTTGCCTGGAGCACCTGGGAGGATAGAGCTGCTGTTCCCTGCATCTGAGACAGAATATTGAGACAGAAAGATTCCTGTGGAATTGTTTGGGGGAAGACCCAGCCCTTCATATTAGACCTAGGATGTTAGAGGAGGCTGTTGGGCATGAAGACGGAGAGGACGCATCGGGACTTCGAAATGTGGGCGGGGTGCAAAAAAGAGGTCTGGGCAGGGATCCTTGGAGGCAGGTGCTCTTGAAGGCCAAGAGACTGAATGAAGTCACCAAGGGAGGAAGAGAAAGAAGAGGGTAGAGGACTGCACGCTGGCCCTTCAGTGTGAAGAGGCTGGGGAGGGGCAGCCGCGGAGACTGGGAAGCAGCAGCCTCTGATGGAGGAGGAGGAGAGCTCAGGGTGCTAGCAGGCCAAGAACACGTGTAGACAGGTAGAAACAGCTTGGTCTGTCTGCTGCCCACAGGCACACCCAGGGGAAAGTCACCTGTAGGCCTTACTCAGGATCCAGGAGTCAGCCAGATCAAACAGTTGTAAGGAAGAGAAACAGTTTCTCTTTTCCTGCCTTGGGGCTGGGGGAGGCGGGGGCAGGGGAGGGGGGGGGGACTGCTTCAGCAATTTGCGTAATTGGCCCTTGTGAGAAAGACCCCTGGGAGTCCAGTGCTGAAGGGAGCTGATTTTAGCCACATCAATTAGTCATTCTCCCACTTCATGGGCTGTCTGTGTGTGGTTTCTAAACAGGCAGGATTTGTTTAACAAAATAATCAGCATCTCCACTTCCTCCGAATCATCCTTGAATCTAAAGATCATTTGAAAAAAAGCTAGGTCATGCTATGATGCACACCTAGGAGTGTCTTATTTCCATTTTCCTCATTTCAGAGGGAAAAAAATAGGTAGAGCCTTGATGCACAAATTTGAAAATCAAGCCAACATTCCCCTGTGTGCCCCAGCCCCTTCCAGTGCACCCTCCAGCCCTGTAGTCCTTAGAGCTGCTTCCTACAGTATTCATGACTTAGAACAGCCCATTCTTGAAGCTGGTTCAACCATCTGCCTGTCCACACTCTCTGGTTTGGGCTGGATCCCCAAGGAAATGGGTTTGGCTGCCTCAGGCTGTGGTCTAGGCACAAAGGGAAACTGAAGTCTGAGTTCTGGGCAGACGTTATCAGGAGACAGGAAACCACTCGTGGCTTAATTCCAGGGGCCGGCAAGGTCAGGCAGTGGGTGAGTGGCTGTGGGCAGAGCCTGGGGATGTCTCTAAGGTAGCAGTGTCCTGGGGGTCTGCATCTTGGAGGTGCTGGGTCTTTGGATGAGAGGCACCTGATAGAAGCTCCGCTCCATTCAGTCATTCAATATTCATTTACCCAGTGACGCCCATGGCTCACCTCCTTTGCTTCTTCATGAATTAATAATGTTTATTTTATGGTATCACAGAAACCAGACATAGCCTAATACTGACAAGTCTGGGAATGGTAGATGGTATAGTGTCGGGGAAACAGCACTAGCTGTTGAGTCAGGATGGCTTGGGTTCAAATCCTGACCTGGCCAATTTTACCTTAAAGGGTAGCTTAGCCTCCTTGAGTCCCTGCAGTTCCCTGCAAGGGGGCCATTCTCATGTGTTCCTTGAGGAGCTGTGTGAAGATCACAGATGATATGTGGAAAACACTTGATACAGTGCTTCTCACATCGTAAGGGCTCCATATATTGGGAGTTATCATTTTGTGTTTGTCATAGCAAGGAGTGGGTGAACTAAGGAGCCTAAATGAGCCTTCCCATGCAGAGGCTGAGAAAATGAAGAGTTACTGCTCTAGAAGACAGGTGGGAGGGTGCCACAGGCAGGCTGTTGTTCGCCCTGTTTTGCCTTGGGCAGACATTAATGCCCTGTCCCCACACTCCTTTCACACCCACTGGGAGATGGCTTCTGAGGTGTGGCTCCAGGCCAAGGCCAACTACTGGGGTTTGCCTGCGGGCTGTAACCTCTTTACCACAGTCACCCTGAGCAGAAAGTCAAGCTAGTAATTCGGAGAGCTTGTGTGCTGACACCTTTTTGATGAGGTAAAAGGATCTGACTCAAAGCTAGCCTTCAACAGTGAAAATTACTAGTGAGAGGCGGCTTTGGGCTGTCTCTTCAGTCAGGAACGCATTTGAAACGAAGTTTGAAAGGTTCTGAACTCTTCTAGATGGTTCTGAATAGACACTCCCCACGGTCCATGCCCTGGGAAGGGGTAGACTCAGCTATGAGCATCCTGGCTGGCCCAAGCAGCAGGGCTTCTGTGCCTAAGCACCTCTGTCACACCTGGAATGTCCCAGGAAGAGGGAACTCGCCCCGCTCAGCCTCCTCCAGGGCAGTTACCTGCTTCCCTCTCTCCTGACATCACCTGAAGCCCAGCCCTGCCCTGGCTTAGGAGACAGGAAGGGAGCCCAGTCCTCAGCTTCCTTCTCCAACTGCAGTTCAGCCTGTCAGAGCTGGCAGTGAGGACCCAGGAAGTGCATTTTCTGCCTCTTCTCAAGGGGAAGTCCATAGTTTTAGTGATCAGCAGAGAGCCCCATCGACTAAAAAGACCTAGCACCAATGTTCACCACCAGGTGCACGATACTGAAAGTAGATCATTAATAATAAACAAGTATTCTACCTGACAGCAAGTGGGTATGGGGCGACAGCCAGGGGAGCCTTGGTTTCTGATTCCTTCCTAATGTGGTTGCTGCTGGGCAGCTCTGCTGCTTGTTGGACAATCAGGTTGCTGCCCTGACTGGTAGTATATGGTGGGGTGTGGGGATCACAGCCATGGCATGTGTTGGCAGATATTCAGCCCAGCTCAGGTCCTTTTTAAATGACACTTCCCAATGCACAACCTTTTCCCTGCAACACCGGCGCTTCAAAGACACAGGAAAGAAAACACTGAAAATGAAGCCAGCCTGCTGCTTCCTGACCCTGGACTGATCCTTCCATATTCCAGTACCGCAGTCACGTCTGCAAACATCCATTCTATTAAAGCAGTATGCAGATGTAGGTCAGAATATACAGAGCAGTAGATGTGTAGAAGGGAAAAGTCTAGCGATCTAGTGTACAACATGAAGGCTAAAATAAAAAAAAAAGCAGTATGCATTTTGTGAGAGGTACTTAGAAAAGCAGCAAACCCTGGAAAATGAAGTACGAGGCACACTGGTTTCACTTGATCAAATCAGCCTCTGAGGCTGTATTGTGAGGGGCAGGGAAAGTCGGAACCCTCAAACATTATTTGGAGGAGTTCATGGGGTTTGAAATAATTCCGTAAGACTGATAACACTTTAATGAGTCCATAAGCAAGAATGAGATTAGATAAAATTGTTGTAGATTCACTGACTAATCATGGAAAATAGGTAATTTCAGTGAAAAGAAGGGAGCATGCTGTGGGCGTAGATAACGATGGACACCGCGATACCATGCAAAGGCTCAGGTTTTTCTCCTAGCATTTTGGATGCCTCACCTATGTGTAACTGATAATAATCTGTTTCTTTGTGGCAAAAACCAGGTGCAGCCTTTTCCACACATTAGCTCATCAATTCCTAATAACAGTCATACACAGGAGATATTATTTTCCCCCTTCCTCAGATGGCAGAACCGGATCAGAGAAGTTTAGAAACTACCCTCAGTCACCCAGTAGGGAATGGAGCTCAACTGTGAACCTTGGGACTCCTGACTGAAATCTGCTCTTTTTGACTGGCTGACCATATAGCTTCCTAAGGACAGCAAGGGAGACAGCGGAGGGAGGGAGGGAGGGGAGGGGGGAGGGGAGGAGAGGGGAGGGCTGGTCACAGTCCAGATTGCTGGACTCCACCCCTAGATAGAGTTTCTAATCTCTTAAGTCTGGGCTGGAACCTGAGAATTCGCATTTCTTAGCTGTTCCCAGATGTTGCAGGTCTGGGGACACCACTGAGGACCACAGCTAAGTATAAACCTGCCTTTCTTGGAATGCAGTAATAGTATTGCAGAGAAGCTATTTTAACATACGTTTTCTTATTCTTACATTAAATAAACGATGAACAAACAAGTACAGTTTTGTTTAATGATGAGCTGTCAAGTTTTCCTTTGTTGTAAAAGTAGAGATTTCACCTACCGCACAGGTTCAGTAAGCCCTGGGGGACACCTCACTTACCAGCAACCATCTGCAGGAACCACGTTTTTTCCTGTGTGAAAGGCCCTCTGAGTGCTGGCGAGTGGCTAACATCCAGTCTGTCTCAGAACTCAACCTATTTGGAGAGTGGGTGTTTCCTGGGTATTTGTAGCTGGCTTGTGCCCAAGTTGGAACTCACCCATGGATAAAGTGTTACTGAAGCACTGCAGCGGCTGCAGGCTGAAGGATGTTTCACTTCCAGGTCTGGCTGCCAGGATGTGAGGCCCCGGTTGAGGAATGCGGTTAGAATTCCATGCAGTCGAGACTTCTTCCCCTGAGCCCTGTTAGGCTCTGCCTCTCCCATTTCCACTTTCCCTCCATTCTTGCCAAAGCTGTTTACATCCTCTAGCCAATGCTGTCTAATAGAAACATATCGTGAGCCACATACATAATTCAGTGTTTTTAGTAGTCACATTAGAAACACGAAGCAGGTAAAATTAATTTTAAGAATATCTTTTTATTTAACCTGATATTTAAAAAAAATCATTTCAACATGTAATTAGTATAAAAGCTATGGATAAAATATTATACATTATTTTTCCCCTATGAAGTCTGCAAAATCTGGTGTTATTTAACACTGACAGCACATATCAGTGCAGAACAGCGATATTTCAAGTGGCCACTAGCCACATGTGGCTGGCAGCTACCATATGGGAAAGTGTAGCTCTTTCTACATTTGGAACTGCTTTGCAAGTTCAGAACCACTAAAAAGAACCAATATGTGAAAGGCAGAGACAGGCAAATATTCATAGCTAAGCTCTGGTTTTATGTTTATTAAACAGAGAGATGCAGGTAGCCAAAACAAGGCTGGGCCTCAGAATCAACTGGGACACCTGTTAAGAAGATAACTGTAGCCGGCACCATGGCTCACACCTGTAATGTCGGCACTTTGGGAGGCCAAGGTGGGCAGATCACTTGAGGTCAGGAGTTCAAAACCAGCCTGGCCAACATGCTGAAAACCCATTTCTACTAAAAAGACAAAAATTAGCCAGGCATGGTGGTGGGCACCTGTCTGTAATCCCAGCTACTTGGGAGGCTGAGGCAGGAGAATTGCTTGAACCTGGGAGGCAGAGGTTGCAGCTAGCTGAGATTGTGTCATTGCATTCTGGCCTGGGTGACAGAGTGAGACTCTATCTCAAAAAAAAAAAAAAAAAGATAACTACCTGTACCTAACCCTAACCCTATACCTACTTAATCTAATGGGCTATGAGAGGAAAGGGAATCTGCATTTTTAATAAGCACCTCGGGTAATTTTGCTACATCCAGCCTAGGGCTTTCCACAGAGGAACATTTCTGAATCACCAGAGAAGTATGAAATCCCATCTGGGGTGCCAGGCTAGAGGCCGAACAGCACCCAGCTCTTCTTCCCGTCTGCCACACAGTCTAGTTTTACTCAGACTTGAAACCTGATTTGCATGGATATGTGTTCTTAACAGATAAACATTTTGATGATTCGTCAGGCTTAGGTTACATCCAGTTTGTAGGACAAATGCAGTTCACGTGGCTTTCCTAGCTTGCCATTTGGTTGAATTTAAAATTTCTGGGCCCCGTGTCTGTATCAAGATTTGTGTGCCAGTGCTGCCACCTTGTGATGGAAGAGACTGTTGACACAGGTTGGAATAAATATGGACTTGCCCTCTGCTGGTAAGGAGGCTAGAAACCCAGTGTATCCGCAGGTGCAGGGTTCTGCCCCATGTGGGCCTGTATTGATCAGAGGCACTGCTGACACTTTTTTTTTTTTTTTGAGACAGGGTCTGGCTCTATCACCTAAGCTGGAGTGCAGTGGCACAGTCTCGGCCAACAGCAACCTCTGCCTCCCAGGTTCAAGCGATCCTCCTACTTTAGCCTCCCAAGTAACAGGGATGGTAAGCATGCACAACCACACTTGGCTAATTTTTATATTTTTAGTAGAGACGGGTTTCATTATGTTGGCCTGGCAGGTCTTGAACTCCTGACCTCAAGAGACCCACTTGTCTTGGCCTCCCAAAGTGCTGGTATTACTGGTGTGAGCCACTGTGCCCAGCCACGGCTGTCATTCTAAAGCAGTGGTTCTCCAGATGTCTTCCCTGGGCAAGCAACAACAGCATCCCCTGAGAACTCATTAGAAATGCAGATTCTTGAGCTGTGCTCCAGGCCTACTGATTAGAAATCCTGAGGACAGGTTCAGAATCTGTGTATTAACAAGTCTTCCAGCTGATTCCAATACACAATAAAGTTTGAGAACCACTGCTGTAACCTAAAACAATGATTTGTGCTCTTTTCGAGGCACAGATGCAATTAACCTCATGGACAGTTGCCCTAAAACAAAGGTAAAAGCACACAATGTGCCCAGACTTTTGTGACCACTTTTGGAGAGCTTATAGACCACATGAGGTTGGATCCCTGCTCCCAATCCTGCCTTAATGGAGCTGGAGGGAAGGGGCTGGGATGGAGGTACAACAGGACATCCTTCACACATTTGGCATCAAGACAGTCTGGTTTAAGGCTCTTGGTTATGAGAGCCACTGACAGCATTTAAAATGGCTTTGTCTAGATTAGAAAAAGGTGCCTTTGAGTTCTGGAAACATCTCATTTTAAAACACTAACATATTCTCTAAAAAAATCTCTGTTACACTCAATGGATTATTAATGGAAAATTATCAATTATTTTTCAATGATTCATCTCACTATATATAGTATAGTATAGAAAGTACTATAGATGTAAGCTGAAAGCTTAATAATATCATCTAGGTAAAGTAACAAATATCAGGTGACAAACTGTAAGATGGAGACTAAATTGAGCAGTGTTCTAATAACAAAGGGGATGGATTTCTTTATATACTCACCAATCATCATCAGTCAACTCCTTGTTTGGAAGCGCAAGTAAACCACAGCACAATAAAAATGATATGATGTCAGAGTACCATGCTGCTGATTATTGTAAGCTGAAGAACAGTATGAAATACCCCATTAGACACTACATTCATCCGTCATAATACAGTGATTTTGTTAAAGCAAGATGTCTTGCTGCTGTGTGCTTAAACATTATTATAATAAACATACAGACTGCCCACCTTTGGAGACTACAAAGAAGAACATATTTCAAAACAGTGAAGATGTCTATGATGTGAATAGCGCTCCCTTTGAACAGCACCTTTGTGCACTGCACAACTGAGCAACTGTACTTGGTGGTACTGGTGCTTTGCAGGCTACAGGTCTATTGGTTGTATCCTCGTCAGAAATGAGGTTGTGGTTCTAGATTTCCCCTCATCATTAAACCTAATAGGAAATTCAAATGAAGATAGTGAAATATGCAAACTGAAGATTTTGCCAGTCCCTGTGACTCTCCTTAGAGATATATTCTGAGTGTCAGCAAAATCTCGAGACTTAATGGCTTGCAAATAATACGGTATCAGAAAAAGAATCCACTAGTGGAGTGAAAGTGTGGCAGGGAGATCAAGCTTCCTTTTTGTTTTATAAAATATGACTGTGAAGAAAACTTTTCATTAAGCCAAAGATAGATCTAAAAGGACTTTCTAAATCTTGAAAGCACGGCGACAAAGTGAGGAAGTGGTGAGGAAGTGAGACAAGGGTCCAGCTAGAGCTCAGTGCTGGGATCGATCTGCTGTGTGTTTATGTCAGGTCTCTTTCAGGCATCCCAAAACAGTTTCCCAATGCTGGTATGAATTGGCCTCTGATTGCAGGTGATTTAATCACCATCCCCAGACCCCAGCAATAGGCTGACCGAACAGGGAACTCACAGAGTCAGGATGCAGCAGGGCTAGGCCAAGCTTCTTCCTCCCCTAATGGTTCCCTCGGTTCATTTGTGGGGACTTAAAATATTTTTTCTCCTTACATATTATGCAGTAAAAGGCAACTTCTTCCAAAAGAGCAAGCTTTTGTTCCCTGTGGGCTGAGGTCCCCGGAGTATGCAGAGCTGGAGTTATCATCTGGGGAGTGGTTAGTCTTCCCTTGTTTCTGAATCCAAGAAAACCACTGCTGCATAACTGGCCCGCCCAGAACTTCCTCAAAACACATAGTCAGTGTTGCCACTTAAAAGGAAACGGTAACACTGACTGTGTTTTGAGGAAGCTGCCCCTCAAGAAAATCCCACAGTTTCCCAAAGTCCTGCAATTGCCTACACTCAGCCTCCCTGTCCCATGATGACACTTCCTAAAGCCTGTGTGGCCTACTAGGTGGTGGTGTCTGCGACTTGCCTGGTCTTTGTGAGACATCGAATCCCTCCAGAGCTGCACTCACTCTCCGGGCACCATTGCTTCACCTCCAGACCAGTCAGCAAGGCCCTTCCAGCAAGGCTGGTGCAATCCCCACTGGTTTACTTAGTGTTCTGGGCATTCTCAGATCCTCCAGGGCACTCTAAATATCCCCGGCCTGATCTTACCAGAGACACCAATCATCTGCAAAGGCCAACTCAAGCTCCATGATTTTCTCTTCTCTCATCTCTCCTCCCTCCAACTCTTCAGTGTTACCTCTTACGCCCCGCTCAGTGGTGTCAGGCGGCTCCTCCGGGGAGGTACATGTCTATGTCATTTTGTTTTCCAGGGGGCAGAAGAAATGACTTAGTTGCATCTTTACCTCTGAGAATCTCAAGGGAGCACTTCTTCCTCAGAAAGCACAGGGCACAAGGACACCTTTCTGTGGATCTCTTCTGTGATGAGCTCAATTACGTGTCCCCTCATTCAGTTATATGCCCCTATAACTGAAGGCATAGCCCCGGTTCCTCAGATTGTGTTGGTATTTGGAGGCAGGGTCTTTACAGGGGTAATTAAGTTAAAATGAGGTCTAGGATGAGCTCCGATCCACCATGAGTGGTGTCCATACAAGAAGAGGAGATTAGGACACAGGCATAGAGAGGGGATGCCGTGTGACATGAAGATGGCCATTGGCAAGCCAAGGAGAGAGGCTGCGGAAGAAACTAACTGATACTTTGATTTGAATGTCAGCCTCCAGGAACTGTGAGAAAACGAATTTCTGTTGCGTAAGCCACTGGGTCTTGTGTACTTGGTTATGGCAGCCCTTGTAAACGAATACACCTTTATCCCTAGGATGAGCCTTGTTTTGACATGTGCAG